CACACACACACACACACACACACACACACACGCGCGCGCGCGCGCGCACACAACACACATATACACACACACGCGCACACACGCGGGCACACACACACACACACACACACACACACACACACACACATATACAGACCGTTTCTCCGTGGCAGCGCGGGATTGCTTACCACTTTGAATTCGAATTCCTGCCACCACTGCTGCAAGGGCATCACAGAAAGATGTGTGCCCCTCGTGAGGGCATTTCAAGGACCGACCGACGAAACGCCAGCAGCAGTCCAGTAAGGGCATATCGGAAAGTTACGCCCCATGCTGACAGGGGCCTGCGGAAAATTTCAGAGGCCCGAGGGGCACCTCAGGGTAAGTCGGCCTTCACAGGGGCACGCCGCAAATAACCGCAAACTTTGGGGGCATTTCGAAAATTTTCCAAAGTAAATAATATATATGCTTCCATCATCAACTTCAAAGGTGTCTCATCAGCTTCAGAGCTGTGTCATTGACTTAAAAACTGCGTCATTGACTTCAAAGCTGCGTCATCGACTTCAAAGCCGTGTCATCGACTTCAACGCTGCGTCGTCGACTCGAAAGCTGTGTGGTCGAACTTAAAGCTGTGTGGTCGACTTCAAGGCTGTGTCGTCGACTTCAAAGCTGTGTCGTCGACTTCAAAGCTGTGTCGTCGACTTCAAAGCTGTGTCGTCGACTTCAAAGTTGTGTCGTCGACTTCAAAGCTGTGTCGTTGACTTCAAAGCTGTGTTGTCGACTTCAAAGCTGTGTCATTCACTGCAAACTTGTGCAAAGCTGTCCCACAGACTCCCAAGCTCAGCCTCCAAAGCGCCCAGTTTAGTGCATGCCATTGATCATACAGAGAGAGAAAGAGAGAGAGAGGGACGCGGAGGGGAGGAACGGGAGAACCAGGTGAGGCGGAAAAGCAAGGCACAGATACACCAGAGAGGATACTCGTAGATTCCGTCAACACATGACATAATGATGCAACCCACAAGTTGATAAGGTGAGGTTGCTGACAACACTATCATCATCTTTACAAATTACTCTATCCTGGAGCATCGCCACAGACCTCATGATGAAGAATGAATGAGTTGCAGTGAAGAACATTGTAATGAGCATGATTGAACAGGGGACGTGTCCACATGTCCAGGATGTGCAAATCACCAGCATCAACAACAGCACGGAAAGGATTCTGAACTTACTATATATGATAGGCCCACAAAACCAGGCGAGCGTGCAGGTAAGGAACTCAAACGCCGTCTTTAAAGCAGTATCACACTACGCAACAGACACATAACAAAGATTGGAGGAGAAAAAGAGAGAAATGACGTGCATACAACTCCCCGAAGAAGAGGGCAAGGCACCTCCTGATCAGAATCCTGAAGAGGAAACGCCATACCTATACCATTACTTTAGGGAAGGTACAGCCTGGGAATGGGAGTACGTAATTGGAAGGCTGAAGCGTGCGAGAAGAGGCTGACTCAAAGGATGTTAGAGTAAGAACACAAGGAAGACAGGTTTCCATATCACTCCAATGAAATGGAGACACAACCTTAAATCCCAGCCCAGAAGGGACAGCGAGGTCCAATAGTTGAGGGTTCAGGGTTTAGGGTTCTAGTAGCATCCAAAAAAARGGAGAAGGCTCRATGGGAGAAGGGATACTTCGACTCACGGGCCRAACTGACGAGGAGGGAAGCATAAGCAAGCAGAAATTATGGGCGAGCTCTTTCTAGGTGATATAGCTTTATTAGGCAGAGCTGGTGTTATCAGGTCTGAGAGGAAAGAGTGAGTCATGGCAAGCTGACAGTCAATCCTCCACCAATGGTGGAGCAATCAATGCTGTTCAGGGGTCCTTCGGCCAAACGGGAGGAAGCGTGAGTCTCTGATGCAATGTAATTTTCCTTTTGACTTGCCRGTGGAATAGGAACCGGACTGACGCTCCCCAGAAGAAATCGCAATAACTTGGTTAAGAACCTAAGGTAAGTCAACCACACTGCTAGCAACAGTTCTGAAAAACACCTCTGATGCATCCTTGGCAGCACCGACGTTTCTTGCGACCCGATTCTGACCGACCTTATCAATATGCCATTTGGCTGGGTTGGCACGATGCCAACCGCCAACTGTCGTGTGAGTGCCACCTGCTCTCTGGAGACTGATCAGACCAGTCTTTCACAAAACTGGCAGCTGCCCGCCCTTGCAGATGCCCCAAACACCTGAGAGCAATTGTTGACAAAGTTTCGAGGTGTTTGGGGTGGAGAGGGGGAAAGGGGGGGGAGGGGGTTGCGGAACGGATAAGGATAGGAGATCCTGACAGGGAATGATCTTCATCAATCGGGCTGGATGAGATGGTACAGGGATAAAAAGGCAACCATATTCACCGTCCAGATCGTGATGCTGCGAAGACTTTTTTACCATTAAAATTAGGAGGTACTTCCACTGTTCCACAGCATTAAAATTGGAAAGTACTTCCGCACAATATCTAGGAGTACCTTGATTGAAAATTAATTCTGTTTATTAGCTTGACACGTGGGATATCTCTCGTCAATCAGGCTCTGTGCAACGATAGGGATACAAAGGCGACTCTGTGCACGGGTCAGATCTTGATTATGTGAAAATTTCACCATTAGAATTTCAAATGTAAGTTCCGACAATGTCTTAGAGGTCCTCGATCAAAAAGCTTATAGGGATAGCATCAGAAAGGGGATCAATTGCCCTGTGGGACAAGGTAGGCGACGAAAAAGCTACCGCAGTCACTGTCCAGATTTTAATTCTATGAAGGCCTCGACGATGAAAAGTAACTTTTTATCGAGAGCAACTCATGGTATACTCAGCTGAATTGGGCAGGTTGACGACTCTATCGAAGGAGATATTCAAGCAGCATACAAACCATTACGAAGTAAATGACACAGACTTCAAAGAGCATGCTGAAGTAGCGCAGGGCAGAGGGGGGGGGGGGGGGAGGAGGGGAGGGGACATAAGAGAATGCCAAGGAGGGGGTAGGAGGGGGAGTAGAAAGAGGGTCAGGACAAGGAGAAAAAGGGGAGGAGGAAGAAGACGACAAGGGCTATACAGTGAAGACGAAGGAACAGCAGGAGAGACTGGGCATTGAGAAGATAACATCAGTAAATGTCAACTAAATGATAATGCCACACACCACGGCAACATTTGTGGACGAATGAAGAGCAGCCATCAACAAACGGTAAAAGCAAATAGAAAACCGAGCCAGGACTATGAAACTCCGAAGCCACATCCATGGCAGATGAGAAAAGCACCAGCACATGAAAAGCTTTTGGAGTTCAAACACTGCATGCCATAGCATTGTTGCGCAAGTCAAAAGATCAAATCACAATCTCCCTCCACAAGCAATATCCTCAACGAGTTTTGGCACGGTATGCTCATGACGGTCTCTTACGAAGGCTTCCACCTGCCAGAAGTCGCAGTACATTCGCAGAATAACAGAGGACCACAGCATGACTTCTTCCTCCTAAACAGAATCCATGACCACAGCAGTTTTGTACTATGATTTGTGCCCTGCTAGGGTCAGAACCACATCCTCTGCTCAGCCATGCTGTGTACTTGGCTATGGTGTATGCTGTACCCTGTGCCCTGCTAAATACCTGTACAATGCCAAAGCAATGAGTGTTATGCCACATGTACCACCATATACTTCGGTCCAGTAAACAGAATCTACATAGACCTGTACGGACACCTAACATCATTACGGCTCAGCAGATTGTGACTGATAGCACGGTAAGATTCTACCTTCACTAGAAATCACCCTGCATCAAAAAATAAAAACATAGACCCCCATAGACCCACTGTTAGACCCCTTAGACCCCATGGACTCACTGTTAGATCCTTTCTGGTTTACCTTTACTCCCTGAACTTAAACTACCAGTACGTACGAGCCTCTTTTTGCCGAGGCAGATTGCGCCTGCGTGCCAAGCTTTGCCAGCACGACAGCGCCGCGCTTCTCCTTTTCTTTTGGCTGGCCTGGCGCCGCCAGCCATTTTGGTCCAGTAGCCTCGGGCCTCCAAGGTTTTCAGATTGGCTCGATTTTGATTCTCAAGTTTGCCTGGGGAAATGTACTGGCCGTTTAACTTTCAAAATTACCTCCCTTCAGACCACAGCCGCCGCACCAAGACTACCGTCTTCACCTGAATAGAACACCCGGTCATTATCGCTGCATCTGGACTGAAAAGTGCACCAAATACAGCTATAATGACCGGGCTTTATATTCGGTGAAGACGGTAGGCGAACAACTTGTTCAACAGCACCAAGTTCTCTCTTCCATAATTGCTTACGATTACTTAGGTTCATGCGAAACTGGCTGATGCTGCCACGATAACTCCATGCTGAATTGTGAGGTCCCCAACCTCAGCTCAATTGCCTTAATTAAGTAACTTAAGTTTTTAATATGAATTGTTTTGCTTTAAACCACCACTACCTTTCACAGGCAAACACAAAGTCCATCTAGTAGCCTACTCCTAAAAAGTCGGGTCTCGGGGCAGGGTTGGAGGCCGAAGAAAAGAAAATGAAAAAAAAAAGAAAAAAAAAGAAAAAAAAAAAGCTAAACGAGTTTCGAATCCAGGGATGGTCGGGGAAGGCTCTCACAAAGTGAAAGTTACACCAGTGCTTTTAGGAATGTATCTGGCCACTAAGTGAGAAACGTGATTGCTGTTGATTCTTTTTTTCCCCCTCATTTTCAGTCCCCACACGTGGAATATGCCCTGCCTGGCTGGCTAAAACAGGATCGGATAGTGGTGGTTTAAAAAAAAAAAAAATGAAAAATGTGTGCAAAAAAAGATCTCTTCCTGCTGTTACAATGCCTTACTCAAACACCTGCATGGTCAGGATGCGGTCAAGTGTGTAAGATCATGCATGCATTATTTCTTTCTCTCTCTCTCTCTCTCTCTCTCTCTCTCTCTCTCTCTCTCTCTCTCTCTCTCTCTCTCTCTC